GTCTATCGTTGACTGCCCCTGCCCAATCTATATCAGTATAGACCTCTATGGTTTCTGTCTTCTTCTAGTCAGTGCCCTTTTGTTTGCATCTGTATATATTCAACCCCCTCACCCCTTTTTTATCTCCCTTAGAGAAGAAGAGACCCTTGCCTAGAGTTTTCTTGAGATACCTAAGAATTCGTTCAACGCTTCCATATGCTCCTTTTGAGGATGACTTGCAAATGGCTTACAACTCCACTGCAAATGATATGTCTGGCCTCATGTGGGATAGGTATATCAATTTGCCAACTAACTCTAGTACCTCTCTTTATTCACAACCTTTCCGTCTGGTTTTACCTCTAGTTTGCAATTTTGTTCCATTGGGGTTTCGGCTGGTTTTGCACCTATCATACCAGTTTCCTTGAGAAGATCTAGTGTGTATTTCCTTTGAAACACACTAATGCCCCTTTCTGATCTAGCGACTTCCAAGCCTAAGAAGTACCTTAGGCTTCCAAGGTCCTTGACCTCAAATTCTGACGCTAGTTTCTTTTTAATGCAGCAATCTCTTCATCATCATTGCCTGTTACAACAATGTCATCCACATAGGCAATTAACACGGTTATCTTGTGATTAGTGCGCTTAACAAACAACGTATGATCTGTTTGGCATTGTTTATAACCGAATCCTGTGACTGAACACATAAATCTTCCAAACCATGCTCTTGGTGATTGTTTGAGCCCATACAGTGATTTACATAACCTGCACACTTTCTTGTCATTCCCTGTTTTTCTAAGCCCAGAGGAATTTCCATGTATACTTATTCTTGAAGGTCACCATTTAGAAAGACATTTTTTATATCTAATTGATGCAACGGCCAATCCAAGTTTGCAGCAAGGGAGAGTAAAACATTTATTGTGTTGAATTTAGCCACAGGTGCAAATGTCTCTTGGTAATCTATACCATATGTTTGAGTGAACCCCTTTGCAACCAATCAAGCTTTGTACTTACTAGTACTCCCACCTGGATTGTATTTCTTAGTGAACACCCACTTACTTCCAACAACAGACTTTCCCCGGGGTAAGTCAACAATGTCCCAAGTTCCATTTTTAACCAAGGCCCTCAATTCTTCTTCTATTGCTAGTTTCCAGTTGTGATCAGTTATTGCCTCATGAAATGTCTGTGGGATTTCTGCCTTGTCTACATTCACAACAAAGGCCAAACGTACCTGCTTATTGGGTGTCGTGTACAGGTCCTTCTTCCTTTTCTGAGAGCTATGGGCCACTGTAGATCTTCAGGACTCACCTCAGGTGGGGATTCATGACTTGGCCTTGGAACATTAACGGGATTCTCCCTGGTGGCTGGCTGTTCCATATGGCATTCCTGTGTCTCACTAGTGTCTGGCTCCGTGGGTGATTCGGTATGATTGGGAATGGAAGATGTAGGCCTAGGAGAGGTGTCTATTTGGGTTTCAGGAATTTCTGAGGCGGTTTCAATGGCTGGAGTAGGTGTTTTAGGTGCAGGCAGGGAGTATCTAGGTTGAGTTCGGTGATTATAGCACTAGGCTCAAGAAAGGTGACATCTAGTGATGTTTGGGTCCCATTAACAGTTTGCTGTTCAGATTCAGTCCATATTGGCCATTCACTACCTCTCTCCCCCTGAATGGGCAATCTGGGATAAAAGGTAGGTTTTCAAAAAATTTGACATTCATAGTGATATATATTCGCTTTGTGGTAGGGGAATAACACTTGTACCCTTTTTGAGTAGGGGAATAACCTAAGAATATGCACTTAATAGATCTACTATCTAGTTTCCCATTGGCATCAGTGAACACAAATACGGTACACCCAAAAACACGTGTGGGAAGTGAGTGAACAAGGTAAGAGTACGGTAGGTTTCCAAAAATTTTTGAATTGGGGTCTGAAATTTTAAGGGTCTGGATGGCATGCGATTAATCAGATAAGCTACTGTGAGAAACAGCATCCCCCCAAAAAGAGTTTGGTACATTGTGTCCAAGCAAGAGAGCTCGAGTTACTTCCAGAAGGTGTCTGTTTTTGCGTTCGGCTACCCCAGTTTGTTGGGGCGTGTGTGCATAGGATGTTTGATGGTGGATTCCATTTTCAGCAAAAAAGGTTATGAATTGAGAATTAACAAACTCCTTACCATTATCACTGCGAAAAATTTTTATTGAAGTTTGGAATTGGTTTATGACAAACGTATAGAAATTTTTAAAAATGGAAAACGCTTCAGATTTATCTTTCATCAAGAAAAGCCATGTTAAGCGAGTATGATCATCTATAAAAGTCACAAACATCTGGCCTTAGTATGTGAAGCAACCCGAGATGGACCCCAAACATCACTATGGATGAGAGTAAAGGGTTGTGTAGGTGTGTAAGTATGCGAGGGGTAAGGAGCTCGGGTCTGTTTGGCAAGTTGATAGGTTTCACAATAAAACTGATTTAATTTTATTCATAGATTTTGGAAACAAATGCTTCATGTAATCAAAACTAAGATGTCCAAGTCTAAAGTGCCATAGCATAAAAATCTTCTTATGACATAGAAGATAAACTAGGAGACTTAAAAATAGGTGCAGCCACAAATCTCTTGATTGTAGTGGTTCCTTCAAGATAGTATAGCCCATTATGTTCCTTAGCTTTGCCAATCATCCTCCCCAAAGTTAGGTCCTGAAAATTACAGTAAAACTTGTTAAAAGTAATGAGGCAATTTAAGTGATAGGTTGCACATTTGACAAACAATAAGTTACAAGGTATCTCTGGAACATAAAGAACATCCTTCGGTACTATATTGTCTAAAATAACGACAGTTCTAACCTTAGCATATGTATTATTGGTGACCTGTACTCTAGTATGATCAGAATGAGGTTTAAACTCAAAAAATAATTCTTGAAAACCAGTAATATGGTCTGTAGCGCCTAAATCAACAATCCAGATATTTTTGGACCCAGTTATAGTGCCAAGTGCAGCAAGAAGAATGGTACCTGAATGGGCTAAGGTCACAGAAGGAGTAGGTTTTTCACACTTTTTTCTCACCAGAATATTTGTCCAGAATCTGTCTAAGCACCGTAAGTTCATCCATAGTTTGAGACCCACTATCTGAATTTGTTGTGAGCAGTCCTTTACCATCCCCTATGGTTCGTTGCTTCAAGTGTGCTGGTTTCCTGTGCATTTTCCAGCAAGTATCTCTAGTGTGCCCATTCTTGTTACAATGATTACATCTCAAGTTTGACTTCTTCCCTTTTGGATCTCCCTCTTGGTTACCTCGGGTAATCATAACAGATCCTTCATTCGCTGGTGTGGGAGAAAAGGAAGGAAGGAAAGGAGTAGCATTAGAACCGAAGGTAATATAAATAAGCTCCTTACGGCTTCCTCATACCTGACCATGTTGAAGACATCTTCAAGAGAAGGGAGTGGTTGCATGCCCATTATACAGCCCCTGACATCTTCAAATGTGACATTAAGGCCAAGAAGGAAATCAAAGCACCGTTCTTTCTCCACTATTTTCCTGAAATTCAGCCCGTCAGATTGGCAGACCCAATGATAGATCTCATACAGGTCAAGCTGTTGCCACAGCTTTATTAGCGCACTGAAGTATTGGGTCACCATTTTCTCCCCCTGCGTAAGAGACCGTAGCATCCGTTTCACCTGGAGGAGTGCTGCGGTATTGTCTTTGGCAAAAAAGGTACGTTTGGCTAACTCCCATATTTCCCGAGCAAAGTTGGCCAGGAGATAGTTCTCACTGATCTCGGTATTCATAGAGTGGATCAACCAGGTCATGACCATATTATCTTCTGCACACCACGTAGCATACCTCGAGTCCTCAGGTTTTGGTGGCTTTGGGTCCCATGTTAGATAATGCTCCTTGTTGCGTCCTCGTATGAACATTAGGATGTTTCTGGACCATTGAAGATAGTTTTTTCCATTCAAACAATGTGATCATCGTCTGCGAGAAGGCGTCGAGGCAGAGATCATCCTGGGTGTGTGCAATACCCCAGACTGCGAGCTCCCTCCTTTTTCGGTCGTTGCTGGTAAGCCTCCTACACTTGCCAACAGATTCTGCGAAGAATCATTGCTGACGGTGAAGGCCCGTGACGAACCGAGCACTGTGTCTCTGAAGGTCATCACTAAAGCTCTGATACCATGATGCTTTTTAGACACTTAAAACTGTATATTATTCCACCATAGAAGCCGATACATATAGGTGCAGAGTGTGCATCGCATGGGATCTTTCTCAAATAATACATCAAATCTAATCATACTAAATCTGGAAATAATCCTATCTGAAATCCCTAAATAAAAGGTAGAAAAATAAACCTAATTAAGAGACTATAAATAGTAATGATAAATTAGGGTTATCTAAGGGTTAGGCCCAATAAGAATAGGCCCATTGTCAACATGCTCCAACAACCAAGACCAGCTAGATAAAGCAGTTATAACCCATATCTTCATCTTGTTTCAAAATAAATATATCACAATATAATCCATATCTTTTCAGAGTCTCACGAAATGATGAAGGCGATAAAGAGACAACAAATTATCTTGTTATTAATGCTTGAGTAAATAACAATGGCTCAATTAGCCAGATATCAAATTATAAAACTAGTTAAGCTTGAAACGAGAGAGAGTAGGAGTTTTAGAGGGAAAGAGCAATGCAACCAAGCCACCAATAGACTTACCGTATGAGTTGAAAAGTATCACTTAACCAGGTCTTCCCATGTTCAAACTCCTCCATACTCATACGTTCAACAGATTCGCCATAACTATCACCCAACAAAGACCATAAGATAGGCGATTATAAACATTCATGAGAATAATACTACACATTGTTGGTGTTGCAAGAGAATTAACAGATAATATTGCTGATTTGATCACTTTAGCAAAAATGTGAAGCTAAGTTTAATCCTTCGTATCCTTCCAAATCAAATTTTAAATACAATAGTGACTAAAAAGGACATGTATTGATGGACTCCAAAATACTCAGACGACGCATTAGGTGGAAGAATTTTTAGCATTTCCATAATAGGCTATAGAGATTGCAAAGAAAGCTTCATAGCAAAGCCATTGGCTTGGGTAGCAGGCTGCTTATAGGTATTTCATATTAAGGAAAGTCTTGCAAGTCAAGGGAAGTAATACTCTTGCACCAACAGAGAAGGTGCATCATTAGATATTAGTAAAGAAGCTTACGGATCAGTACAACAGACATCACGATTGAGTATTTCAAAAATATATTTCGATTACTCCATTCCTCATCTATCTAGATTTGACCTATTTTCTTAACATGTTATTAGTCATTTGAGCCAACTTGAACTCTATGTACCACTTCCAGAAATTGATGCAATGGCCCATCTTTGACAAGTTAAAAGAATCTTGACATCATATACATTAAACATTGGCCTTAGTTTTATGGGGAAAAGAGTATTTAAAAAACAACCAGTCATTGTAGGATAATAAAAGTTTCTTGCAATTTAAGAGGGAATGTTAAAAGATTAATGTTTGGACAATTCATTTATCATTACTCCACAGTATGGTATTTTATCATTATCAACGAACCTTTTAGGTTTAGTTATCCTATATCCTTAGTAATTATGATCCTCTTGAAGGGTTATCCTTTGTTTTGCCCCAAAAAAAAAAAAAAAAAAGATCATCCTTTGTGAATATATCTAGTCTAGAGTTAATATAATATAGGGGACTGGCAATTTGTGTAAATGAACCAGTGTTCATGGCTTCTCTTTCAATATACCTTTGCTTCAATTCTGGATGGCTCAAGATCACTTTCAAAGCTTCTTTGAAGGTTGTAGTAGTTCTAGGTTCTATTTGCTATCAAGGCTTTATTTTTTAAAAGTTGATTATCTGAATCACTTGTAGGTTACTTTTCCAATAGATTGTTGCTACGGCTTACCTTCCCAAGTATATGCATGGACAATTGATTAACAGTTCATAACTATTTTATTATACTAACAAAATTCTGCTTAGATTGTTGGAATTAACTCGTGAATGCAAATTGAAGATTTTTGTACAAGCCTTATCTGGGGTCGACTACAAAGATTACACGATGCCATTATACTTTAGCAAGCCTTATCCCACTAGATTGAAAAGTTGTTTAAAATTGTCGGAAATTATTTTGATTTTATTTCAGGTATTCTGATTTCTTCATTTAAGGACAATTTGTTTTCTTTGGTTATTTTTAGTAACTTTCCTCAATGTTTGAGATTAGCTTAAATATTCTATTTTCATTACAATTGAGTTATCCTATTTAGGATAAAGTTATCACTGTTTAGACTTGGATTTGGATAGAGCCTACTGCACTTCTTGAGCAGTCTGTCTAAACAGAAATCATGATGAATTAGATTTTCCTATACTCACAAGAAAGAGGTGAGGTCGTGCATTAAACACTCTTAATGTGAGTACATCTCAAATGACAAGTTGTCTTTTGGTTATTGGATTTCGAAGCTAATATTTCATGTGAGCAAATTCAAATGAATATTAAAGAAGCTATGGAAAGGTGCAAATGGAGTAGAGCCACTAAAGATGAGATGAATGCCCATGACAGAAACTACACTAGAAACTTGTTGACTTGCCAAAAGGGGAAGTTCCCCTGTACGTAAGTGGATGTTTACTATCAAGTATCACCCTAGTGAAAGCATCACTCATCATAAGCAATGATGGTGGCTCAATGGCCCACATTACATGAACAATAATAAACCCAACCTTGATAAAGACAACCCAAGATATAAGCAAAAGCACAAATAACAACACACAGCTCACCGTGCATCAAAGAAAGGTTTCTTTAAGTGCTTTTCTAAAAGTTTCCGTGCATGCTCCCTAACCTGTAGATCAGTCAATTAAAAATTTGAACGTCAACAAATGGCCACAGAAAATGTGAGAGGTAATGGTTAGGAAAGCATGGAAAGAAGTGGAAAAATAATTCTTTTCTCATTTCTGAACAATACATTACATCTCAATATATGCACCTTGAAAGAGACGAGAGTAAAGGCTAATAAAGTCTAATAAAAACTAATTAAAACCTAATCAATGCCGATATGCAATCTATACAGTAAATGACAGAATATTCCAACAATCCTCCTCGAGTTTGGATCATAGATATTAATCATGTCCAACTCGCATATACATTCGTCGACTTGGTAGTCCTTTGGTAAGGACATTAGCAACTTGATTCTTTGACAGAACATAGATCAGGCGCGCAATTCCATTTTCAATCTTCTCTTTGATGAAGTGCCTATCTATCTCAACATGTTTTGTTCTATCATGCTGGACGGGATTGTGTGACATTCTCATGGCCGCCTTGCTATCAAAATAGAGCTTGGTAGGCAACTCCGCCTCAACTTGTAGATCATTAAGGAGTTTCTGCATCCACAGCCCCTCACAAATTCCATGTGCTATGGCTCTAAACTCGGCTTCTGCTACACTCTTGGACACCACATTCTGTTTTTTACTCCTCCAAGTTACTAGGTTGCCTCATACAAAGATGCAATACAAGGATGTGGATCTTCTACCCTCAAAAACATCCCCATAAGTGGCATAAGTATATATTCCTACATTAGGTTGTTCGCCTCTTTTGAAAAATAGGCCCTTTCTTGGTGTACCTTTTAAGTTATTCAAAATTCTATAAACAACTCGTAGGCAGGTCTCATTTGGTGAATGCATGTGCTGGCTCACAAAGCTTACTGCAAAGGCAATGTCTGGCCTTGTATGTGACAAGAATATTAATTTTCCCACTAGACTCTAATATCTCTCCTTATCAAGAAGGGTTCCCTCTTCTTCCTCCTCCTTCTCCTCCCCTTCTTCATCATCATTGTTGCTATCTTCTCCCTTCTTATTCTATATGATAATGGGAGCATCAACTAGCTTGCAACCGAGCAATCTGGTCTCTGTCAAGAGATCCAGGATATATTTTCTCTGTGAGATGCATATTCCCTTTCTTGACCTAGCAACTTCCATGCCGAGGAAATAACACATTTGCCCCAAATCTTTCACTTCAAATTTGGAGGCTAAGACTTTCTTCAATCTTTCTATTTCCTCACTATCATCTTTGATTAAGACCATATCATCCACATAGACAAGCAGCATGGCCCTTCTTCCTTTATTGTGTTTAACAAAGAGTGTGATTAGATTGCCCATGCAAATAGTGCTCTTTTCTTAGCACTTTTGAGAATCTGTCGAACCAAGCTCTGGGAGACTACTTCAACCCATAAAGAGATCTCTTTAACTTGTAAACTGTGCTACTTTTTCCCTTGTATTCAAAACCACGAGGTAGGGTCATACAGACTTCTTTTAAGTCACAGTTGAAGAACACATTTTTGATATCTAGTTGGTGAAGTGATCCGTCAAGGTTTGCAACTAATGATAGTAGGACTCTGACTGCATTGAGTTTTGCAATGGGCACAAATGTTTCAATATAATCTATGCCATAGGTTTGAGTAAACCCTTTGGCCACTGTCAAGCCTTGTATTTGTCCAAGAAGCCGTCAACCTTATACTTTGGTATAAAGACTCATTTGCATCCCACAGGCTTCTTTCCTCATGGTAAATCAACAACCTCCCAGATATTATTTCTCTCAAAAGCTCTTATTTCTTTCATAGCAGCCTTCCTTCATTCTGGTGCTTCAACGGCTTCATTGATGTTGCTAGGAATTTATATCTTGTCAAGATTAGTAGCGAAAGCATGAAATCTTGGAGCAAGAGCCTTGTAAGATACAAATCTTTCTATATGATGGTGAGTACAAGAACGAGGTTGCTTCCTCAGAGAAATAGGAAGATCAAGATCAGTGGATTCCCTTACTGAAATATCATGTTCCTTTGAAGACTCCGCATTGGGTGCAATAGAGTTTGATTCTTCTGTCACTCAAACTTTAGGAGCCACCCCTAGTTCTAACTCTCTTGGTGCCTCGAGCATAAGTTGCTTACTATTTTCTGATTTCTTCCTTCATGAGTAGGTTGATCACTCTCCCTATTGTGGTCCTCCTACATCTACCCTTATTTTTAAATTTTCCTCTATTTTTGGCACAAGAAAAGGGACAAGAGGAAGAGAGGAGGAATCGGGTCCTGGCGATAGGTCAAACACGGTGATAAAGAGCGAGAGTAACAGGAGTGAGTTCAATTGGTTCAACTTATGGATCAATTGGTGGTGTATTTGAAGTAGGGTTTTTGCTAGGCTCTATACTTCCCCAAAACTGAAGTTCTTCAATTTCTGGCATAAGAGAGGGGGCAGGAGAAAGAGACAAGGACCCGGGTCCTGATGATGGGTCAAACAATGGTGATAGAGGATCGAGAGTGACAAGAGTGAGTTCAAGTGGTTCAATTGTTGGTGTATCCGAAGCAAGGTTGTTGTCAGGCTCTATACTTTCCTAAGACTGAAGTTCACCCATATTCTCCCCCTGAAATGATGACTTAGGGTAAAACAGTGTATCCCCAAGAAAACAAACATCAAGGCTCACGAATATTCATTTAGAGGCAGGGTCAAAAAACTTGTAGCCCTTTGGAGCTAATGAGTAACCTAGAGAGATACATTTGAAAGCACAAGGCTCAAGTTTGCAGTCTTGATGCAGGTGAACAAATATTGTGCAGCCAAAAACGCGAAAAGGAAAGTGTTGGTCTCAATGTGGGAGGTAGGATAGATACTTTGGAGTTTCTAGAGAGGTGTCTCAAAGGACAGTAAACCGCTTGGCACTCTTCCTATAAGGTGTGTGGCAATAAGGACGGCATCTCGCCAATAATATTTTGGAACATTACAAATGAACATGAAGGCCTGGGCAACCTCTAGAATACATCTATTCTTTCTTTCAGCTATCTCATTTTATTGGGGTGTATGAGCACATGCACTTTAGTGGATGATGCCATGGTCTTGAAGACATGTGCTCATAGAATGGTTAAAGTATTCAGTGCTATTGTCAGTATGGAGGACTTGGATACTGGAAATGAATTGGTTTCTAATCATGGAATATAACTCTGGAAACACAGATGAAATATCATATCTGTCTTTTCACAGGTACACCCAACAAACACAAACACGGGTATGATCATTGATGAAGGTAATGAACCACTTCTTATGGGTGCAGTTGGCAACTCGAGATGGTCCCCACAAGTCATTGTGTATGGTTATGAAAGGATTGGTAGGAATATACGACTATACGTCACTTTAGTATAGGAGGATTAGTGATGTTTTGTAAGTTCACAAACCTCACAATAGGTGGTACCGATATCATAGTTAGGACACGGATTAGGGAACAACTGTTGAAGGTACTGGAAGTTAGGATGACCTATCCTCTTGTGCCATAACATAAAATCATCAATTTTTGAAGTGGATGTGGAATGACTTGCTATGAGTGACAGTGAATTACCCACTTGGCTGACCTTGAAATAGTACAAACCCTCATACTCTTTGGCACTTCTAATTGTCACAGTAGAGAATAGATCCTGAAAAAAAACAATGAGATGCGAGGAATTTAGCAGAACAATAACCAAAATGAGAATGCAATCAAGTTTAAGAACATGTAAGACATTCCAAAACTATGAAGTACGAATACTCCTTTTGCTAGCATCCGACACTAAGGAACCATCTACAATCTTTATTTTGATGTTCCCTGTGCATAGAGTGTAGGTAGTAAACAGCTTATGACACCAAGTCATGTGATCGGATGCTCCCGAATCAACATTCCATCCATTGTGTCACATGACATCTTTAATGCCTAGAGAAAGGTTCCCCTCTTTGCCATTTAACAATGTTAAGGCCTGGCCTAACCTTATTAGACAAGTTGCTTGGTAGTATCTATAATGTCACTCCTATAGCATTAATCAGAAGTGGTGACAGACAAAAGACATGAAGAAAAATCCATAGCACCAAAAAAGTCATAGTACAACATGTAGCACGTATGCATCATACAACATATAACCATAACGCATCACGGGAGTGTTGCCAATCGTGACAAATGGCTGGGCTTGGTCAAAAATTGGTCGCCACCATCGATAGAAGTGATCGCCGACGGTCTTGCCCATCCATGCACCTCCATGCGCTGCTACAAGCTTACTGGTACCGCAGATGTGGTGGCACGTGGGGTCCACATGGGCTACTGTTCCCAGTAATCCTTGGCAGTGAGACTCCATAATGTCTCCACCACCGTGCACACAAATGGCCTAAGGTACTAGACAAGAGCTCTATGATCCGTAACCCATAAACCCTAAGTGTCTGGATTTTGAGCCTAATGCTCTAATACGATGTGAAAAGAATAGAAAAATAATTCTTTTCTCATTTCTGAATGATACATTACATCTCAATATATACACCTTGAAATAGACAAGAGAGTAGAGGCTAATAAAGTCTAATAAAAGCTAATTAAAACCTAATCAATGTTGATGTGCAACCTATACAATAAATGACAGAAAGTATTATAGTTAAATCCATATTACAGATTACATGATAGATGCTAACAACACTATTCAGGAAAGAGTATTGAAGACAGAATTTCAATTGCACAAATAGTTTTCATTCCAAGAGACCACATTAAATGGTAGAAATGTTAGGTGATCATAATATCCATATGATGAAGGTTTATGAGCAAAATTTTGATGTGTGCAACATTTTCAAGTCTTACTTTCTCCCAAACTTAACAGTCTCCCTGTCTTCTCAGCACAGTATTAACACCTAGATATCATTTGCTTTGAACCCTAGTTTGACTACTTCCAAGGAAAGAAAAAATTGAATAAGTTTGTCTAGTTTGACAAAAGTCTGATGGCATTTGCTTGTGCCAGTATGCAACTTGTCATGTTTTCCATATCGTGGCTAAATAGCACTTTCCTATTGTTATTGATTTATCGAAGTAATATTTTGATGTATACCAAGAAAGCTGGCTTACATACAAGACATCAACTTTTAACAAATTATGTGGAAGCTAATGATTGCAAACATGGCATCCCAATTGAGAAGACCATACATACCTGTAGCCACCTAACAAAGTACTTATCCGTATCATGTACAAGAAAAAAATGAGGGGAGCATACATAAATGATCTTCTACCTATCTTTCACACTCCATAATAATCATTTGAGTACATGTGAAATACACAAGGCAGTAGCAAAATTACCACACATTTATCACCCAAAAATATTACTGGAAGCAATGAAAACTCCGACCTGAATTGAGATGCCACAATGTAACGACCCCATATCCTCTATGATATATAATATCTAGTAACGGTCTTTATGTTAATAGACTATAGTAAAAAGGTAAGTATTGCCTTTACAATTATAGGAGAGAATGAGACTAATGACGTGCCTAGGTAGAAGGGAATGTATGCCATTGTACCTGCCCTTCTTTTTTGTCAAATAGATATCGATTTTCCTTTGTTCATATCATAAGGTATAAGAGCCTCTCTCCAGCCTATGGCTTCAGACACTCCATTGAATGAACACATCAGCAAATAAGGGCACTATTTGGAGCTTCAAGGTGGTATGCTAGAAACAATGAACACTTGCATAGATTAAGATACTCAAGATATTACTAACCTAAAACAAGCTACTTCTCGTCTTGAGAGATTTACGCACAATATTTCTATTAAGCTATCTTCACTGAGTTATGGTAAGTGACCTGGTTCTGGCAAAAAAGGTTTCTAACATTAATAACTCTCCTCGCATTCCTTCATTTAGGTCCTTCCACGAACTGCAGAATCCCCATACCTCCTCATCTTACTCCATTTACACTTAACAAAGCTGTGCATAGTGTGGGAATGGTTCTGATTTTCAAGGACAGGTGTCACTACCACAAATTTTGATGCCAATTGAGTATTCATCTGGAAGGTCATGCTTTGCAATGACCTCAGACACTTACGAGGCATCAATCATTTCAGGATATTAGTTAGGAAGACTATTTCAAGCAAATGGAGGCTGAGTTCCTAGATGTGAAACAGAATCCCAGTTACTATCAAAAAGCTTCAACAAGGGGGGTGCATCGCTGAATATAAGAAGAAATTTGATGAACTACTTTGAGAATGATATACCGGTGGAGGTGGCACTTAATCTTTCCATCAAAAGCAAGTGTGCAGATGCACATTGCTTTGTCATTAGGGTTAAAGTGCAAGTTCGCCCTGAAAGTTTTCACTCAAATGCTTTGGGCATTTGAAAGTTTTATTTGAGAGCAAAAGTGCTATAGAAATTTAAAATTATAGCAATATTGTCCCTTACCATCAAAAAACTAATGCTGACCGTTAATGACATTGACCAATAATATTTCCAACGGCAAGGGACAATATTACTACGATTTTAAACTTTCAACGCAAATTTGCCCCAAAATAAAAAATTCTAGATACCGAGAGCCCCTGAGTGAAAACTTTCAGGGCAAACTTACACCTTGACTCTTGTCATTAACTTTTGCTCCTTCAACACTAGCCAACACCACTTGTATGCCTCGAATGCAAGAGGACACCATCCCGCATAGCACCATCAAGCTAATACTATCCTTGGGAACAAGGATCCCCCCCCCCCCCAAAGCCGGGTAGGGAGGTAGTATATGGGGGGCTTTATGATAAAGGTGAGTATTGCCTTTACAGTTAGAGGAGAGAGGATAAGACTAATAACGTGTCTAGGTAGAAGGGAATATATGCTACTGCACCTATTCTCATTTTTTGTCAAATGAATATCTCCTCTGTTGATATCACTCTATGTCTATCTATCTTTGAAATCGATGCTATCAATTTCAGAGAAACTGAGAGGAATCCTTTCTTGACATCCAACACAGACCTTGAAAGAGTAAACATTTTTCCTTCTAGATGGAAGTTTCTGCATAAAATTCTTAATGTGCTTACAAGAAGATTAAACAGGAAGCATCAACACTGGAATGCCTGATGACCCAACTTAATCAGAATCAGAAGTACCCATATACTGTAGTGTCAAATTGTGTATAATGCTAGTGTCTGAGATGTGCCAGAGATACTAACACAACTTCATGGAAGTGTTTATGCTTCAAAGCAATGCGAAAGTCAAGCATGAACTAGCTCACCCTGTTCTCCATAGAGCAAAGTGCAAATTTCCAACCAGCAATTTGATTGAGATTACACAAAAGAGCATCAATCCACTCACTCTTCCCTGAATTGGGGACCCCTGTTACGATAGTTAACTCCCCTGGCACAACCTGATAAAAATAATACAGAAATACAGCAAAACAGAAGCATCCATCACCACTCAATAGAAAGGGTTTTATCATTATTTACCTACTTTCAATTGATAACCATTATCTTTATTAAAAAAATATCTTAAAATTAGACCAAATAACTAAGCATAAAACAGTGATGCCTAATGTGCTTCATGCAATTTCAGATCTGGAACCACGACCACTATTTTAGCAATCTGACATTTGTAATACTTGACTTAATTCCTTTTACATGCATCCAAGATTGTGTTGAGTCTTCAAAGTACTTGTTAAAGATGTATCTTATGATTAACTGCCCAATAAATTATACACTATACAACATCATGACTATTGAAAATCATAAAATATTTGTTTCTTTTATTACACCAGATGGCAAGAAACAAGAGCAGTGCAGGCTGTGCGGCAAACCAAGGAAATGTCAAGGGCATAAAAGCAATGTCATATGCAAATGCAAAATATAGGGAAGCAATGGGTTAGTCATGAAGAATTTCGTTATGAGGATTACAAACATTTGAGCATAGTTTCTGTTCATATTGTAAATTCTTCAAACTTAAAAAATGGCTAGAAACCCATGAGTTTCCATTGTTTTTTGTAATTAAATTTAAGCTTCTTTTGCTTACCATATCATGATTTTTGTTTAAATTACTTTTTTTAATACCTGGAAACCTAAATGCAAACTTCTCTGCCAACAAACTGAATGTACATTTAAAACAATTTAGCTCAGTAATCATTTCATTCACACCATATGGGACAACCTACAATTAGTAAGAGACTATTTGTCGTGTATTTTATTCAATAAATAGTTGGCAAGTCAGATTTATCAATCTAAAAAATTAAAGCCATAACAATGATAGAGAAACGCAATAAATTCCCATTACATTGTATAAATCATCAAGATTACTCCACCCTGTTGAGATACCAAATTCGTAACCTAAGGTTCGATGATAATATGCATCAATCTCATCAAAGAAGTCCCTGAAGTTAAACAATCCACGTATTGGATATAATTCTGCATTCTCAATTGTTTCCCTCAGTGCATCAGCACCTAAATACATGAGAACCTGTGAATAAATCATTAAATATAAGGTTGGTACATTGATCATTGAGCAAATTACAGACAAACAACTTCAAATGGCTCTTCGTGACAAGTTAGCTAGATCCAGATAATATATGTAGATCAGAGTGTATGAGTGCGTAAACAAAGCTTTGTGAAATGCAGTAACTCGTGCAAAGCATAGTTTCAGTTTTGTCCTATGTTTGGATTGAGAAGAATGGATGCGACAAGTAGTTAAATCTCGATCTTGACAATTTCTTCTGGTTAGATCATGAAAAGACAAGACAGACAAATAGTGAAAGAATAATCCATTTCTGTTCTATGCATTATTCAGTATATTTACTATACATATAGCCACAGGAGAACAGAACATCATGCAGAAATTCAAGGTTTAATTTCATCTCTAACTTTATTAGCATTAGATATTATAGATATTATTAGTAGTTGAATTGAATAATTAGGTAATAGCTGATCCAAGGAAATAGGCACAAGGTCAGGGATTCAATCCTTTTTAGTAAAATGTATCCTAGCATTTATTTAATAATCTCCTAGTATTATCATTAGACTGAAATTTTGCCTCAAATTTGCCATGGAAGAGCTTGTCACTCATTTATTAGTCATCAGAACGAATTTATTTAGTAATCTCCTAGTGTGAATCTTATTTTATGTGGCTTCTCTGATGAGGATGGGGTTGCATGCCTTGATGACAGGAAAAGAATTGGAGGATATAGAGATTTCTCGAATGTCATAGTAATGGCTTGGTCATTCAAGAATCTAAAGATTGTGGCTCAGTCTAGCACAGGATCAAAATATCACAATTCCGCACATTTGGCTGAAAAATTACCCTGGTTGTGGTCTTCATTTTGGTAAAATTGGCCTGTGTTTGAATCAATCATCCACGATATGGTGCTATGGGGCAACATTTTTAGTGCTACAGCTCTTGCTGCAAATCCAATGCACGCAAGGACTAACCACATTGAATTAGATGTGCATTATGTGTAGAGCAGGGCTTTGCCCACAAAAACCAAAAAAAAAAAAAGATGTGTGGAACAGGGAGCTAGACAAAAATACTCACTGAATATGTTTCTTAGCCTGACAGCCCATATATTCATTAAAACACGGTCTCATGCATCTAAAGGACAAACTAGCAGTCTGCTACACAACCTCTAGTTTCACAAGGGGGAGTTGATATAGTTTATATTATGTCATTCATATTGTTCACATTGTCATGTTCCCAGCAGGGAGGGTATATATTCTATTGTTGTAGAGCCATGTGCGTACAGCTGCTCAGATACATGTATGGTGTGCAGTCAATAAGCATTTACAGAATTCAGCATTAAAGCTTAGGGATAGCCTCACATTGAGAAACCTAATTATTCACTCAGTCCCCATATATTGATTTCCGCTCCTTAAGCTCTCCGAATATTAACCGCTTAATTAGAATAGATGCATAAAAGCATGCATTCTCCAAGGAGCTTTGTTGTATGTTTCTCAGTAAAATGACGAGTTTATAGTTTTCCAGTGATAAAAACATGGTATGCATGGATAAAATAAATGAAACCATACTTTTGCCATGTTTATATTAATGGAAAAATCTATCAAAGATACAAAAATCTGATTCAAGTTTAATCTGAAAATACAAAACTGAATGAAAATAAAGGAAAAATAAAAACAGAAACAACATTAAACCAAACCAAAAGAGATCCTACAAAAATATGCTGCTTTCATAAGGAAAACATCCAAAATCTGACAGGATATGAATATATGTGCTTTTTTGCATTTTCAGCACTAGATTTGTCTGCAGAAAACTTGAAGAAGCATCCATTTACATATCTTTTAATTGATGAGTGCATGTGGTGAAGACCTATGAAACATGCTGACAACTGACCTCATTTGCATCTTTGAAATTAACCGACCCAGATTTCCTTGGCCACTTGACCCGCCAGCATCTGCTAGCACAAAAGAAAATGGAAAGATGTCATGCAATTGTAATTCTGATAGGAGAGAGAAAGAGAGGTGGAGAGGGTAAAGTGAGAGGAACAAAGAAGAGAGACAGAGAAGAATCAAAATGGGCTAGAACTGGATACCGCAATCATTTTATTTACATCATAATCTTTGTTACAAGATAGGGGTTTTCATCTCTTTATAGGCACAAGTGACTATAACGGCTAGTCCCTCACTCTATTTCCCATTCTGGTTTATTAACTAACTCCTTTTCCCTTTTTCTTGTAAAATGACCTTAGCTTTACGCATGGTTATTAAATACTCTTATAACTATCCATTTACATAACGAAAGATTATCCTTCTTTTATATCAGATTTTTTTTTTTTTTTTGGATAACAAAAAGTTATACTCCCTCCAGTCCTCATTATAAGCACCTCATAACAACTTTACAGGAATAAAAGAAGTTAGTTAAAATTGGGCATTTCTTATGAAATATCAAAATTACCATCAACAAAAGTAATCAGTTAGAGAAGTCTGGTTAACCAGAAGGGAAATTTTATAATCAGTTAAAGATAACAGGTGAAAAGAATTAATCCTTTAGATCAAACATGTTAAATCATGAAACGTGCTGGAAAGCCTCATGATAAGGACCGAAAGAAGTATTGTGAACAGAAAAAGGCAAAGTTAGAGGATGAGTCCATGCAAAGCAATAAAGAAAAGCCATGAGAAGACCACCACCCCATAATAAAATTTAAAGACAAACTACTTCGGAGATCCTAGAATTCTTCCACAACAAAATAATCCAAAAATGGTACTCCCTCCATCCCTTTTTATAAGAAACAACCACTATCTCTACCCGGTCCCTATTTATAAGAAACATTTGCAGGATGTCTCAAATTTTCTTGGTTAGCTTCCTATTTTTCCCCCATTAGTTTCTTAATCATCTCATTTCCTGAAACACCATTCTCTTTATTTTAATTATTCCTTATTCTCTCCCTTATACTCCTTCCCCCCCCCCCCAAAAAAAAAAAAACAATAAATAAATAAGGGTGTATTTGAGGGGGAAAAACTTACAATTTTTTACATATTTATTGTTTTTAACTGATTTTAACTAACTTTTTCATCCACATGATTTAGTCAGGTGTTTTTAATAAAAAGGGCCGGAGTACTTCAAATTTCAAGAAAAATTGCGTAATTAATTACCAGGATAATAACAGTATACATTGAATTCCCTAATCCTATAACACATTTCCTTAGGCCCAAAGGTCAAAACAAATCCCCTATTCAGCTCGATCGTTGCTCATAGCCTCTCCATAACAACATCTGAAGAAACTTTCCCCAATTATCCTATCTCTATTTGCAACCTCTAGAGATCTCCCATATAAAGACAAAACGGCAGAAGGCAATACAAGCCAAAAGTTCCAAAATGTAAGTATGGTGCGCTGAATGTGTGTTTATTCATGATGAAACAGTGTGCATATAGGGGAGTAGAGATCGCACAGAATCAGGGTAGATCTCCCTCAATAATAATCAGGTAAATACAACAAGAAATAATAATCCTAGGATCCCTAAAATTACGGAGGATAAAAACCAATTAGGATAGTGATTCTATCTTGACCGTTGTGACAATAAACTAGGGTTAATTCTTATTTGGCCTAGTGATGACAACCCACTTCCAACACTCCCCCTCAAGCTGGAGAATAGATATTAAGCATTCCCAGCTTGCTAGTGAGTTCATTTAACTTGCTCTTAACAAGAGGCTTGGTCATCACATCGGCCACCTATTTTCCTGAGGGAATATAGGCTAGATCAATTTCTTTAGCTTCAATCTTCTCTATGATGAAATGCTTATCAATCTCAACATGTTTCATAAGATCATGTTGAACAGGATTGTTTGCAATCTTTAATGCAACCATACTATCACACCACATCTTAATTGGTGTTGTTGCCTCCACATGCAGTTCCTTTAGTAATCAAACAGCCCATATTCCTTCACAAATTCCAAGAACTGAAGCTCTATATTCAGATTCAGCTGAGCTTCTCGACACAACTGACTGTTTCTTACTACTACAAGTTACTAAATTTTCCCAGACAAAAGTCCAATATCCAATGGTTGAGCGTCAATCACTAATGGCACCTGCCCAATCTTCATCTTTGTATACTTCAATGCTTGTATCACTTCCTGTGTCAAGTGTTCTTTTGTTCCCATCAGTATAAATTTCTATATTATACTGGTTCCCTTTTGAGAAGAAAAGACCCTTGCCAGGAGTTTTCTTAAGGTATTTAAGAACACGATATACCACTTCCATGTGTTCTTTTTCTAGATTGCTTCCAAACTGACTAACAACCCCCAGTGCATTCCTATTTTATAATATATTTTTATATATAATTAAGGGATTTTAGAATGTTTAAAGGGTTTAAAATGCAGAAAATACTCATATTTTGAATTAAAAAAATTATATAAATTAATTGCCTAAAAGTATATTTTTTATTATATTTTCATAATTTTCCTTTTGAAAGGTATCTTTGCTTTGATTTCCGGAAATATTCTGTCAAGCAAAACATAAAACCCATAGAAACTACATTTGTGGTAGCCACTTGGCATTAAAAGAGAATTTCCCAATTATCTAATTGAAAATTATCTAGCCACAATATCTCATCTTTTACTATAAATTAAAGAGCTTGAATAATTAATTTCGCTTCTGGATAATTCCCTTATCGAATTTTAAATTCGAATGAATATTTTATTCATTTATCCATTATCCATTTAACTTTCCAAATATCTATATTATCATCTTTATCCTCTTTCTAAACCCAAAACCCCAGTTCATCCTACCACCATATCTTTATTTAAGTTTGAAATATTATCCTTTTTTTCAATATCATTTAAATTCAAAAGCTCTTTTACTTTAGTTGTCATGAAGATCACACCAAATTAAGACCATTCAAGTTCAAAGTTCCATTAAGATTATAAGATAAAAGAAGATAAAAAATCAAGCTAGAAGTCTCAAGGGTTTCCTCATCCAACTAGGACAGATTGAAGAGCTATAAAAGGAGATCAAAGGAGCCTTGAAGAAGCAACGAAGCCATCTACACTATATAAGTACAAGCATACACTTGGCTTCCTCTTGTGTCTGGTTGTTTAACTGTCTTCTTTTTATTATTTTCTTTTTATCACTATGGTGTCATCTAGCCATATGTGGCTAGTCCTCTTTGTTCATGAGGACAAAATGACATGACTTGAGTTTCTGTTTATATTAGGGAGTTTGTTAATTTTCATATTCCAATCCACTAATACGTTGCTTTTATGAATTTTCTAAATTAGGATTTTGATTTCTTTTGTGAACTGATATTTGATTTGGGTTTCAGTTGAACAATTATATTTTGAAACTTTTAATGAATATATTTTCAATTTCTTCATGATTCTATGATGTTGATCTTTATAGATTTCTATTTTCATTTGCATAAGTAGTTCATGCTCTAGGGTTTTAATAGATAACTCTTCAAGGAACAAGATATAATTGTTTAATTGAATTCACAAGCTAGGCAGTTTTTAAATGATTAATTGTAAGATGATTATATTCTAACTCTCTAGCTATAATTATTAATTAATTAATCACAACTTAGATGTTATATAGGGTTTTTTTTTTTGACTTAATAATTGTTTCTATACAAACTCCTCATCCTTTTGAACCGTGATAACCACCCATCAACATCCTCGGGAAGTACATCATTCTGAAAAAGTCTTTATTCCTTTTGCTTTCTTTTAATTATTATTAGTTCCCTTTTATTTTTCTTAATTTATTTTCCTAAAAAAATCAGTCAATTTTCTTTCCTTCTACTTCTTTCTCTACATCATGTTTTTCTTAATTAAAAAAGTTTTCAAAATTTTAAAGAAACTCCTCATAGCGAGAGACAACCTAGGTTGAGAGCTTACATGACAGGGCGATCAATATATCTGGCCTCGTGTGGGATAAGTAGATTGATTTCCCTTCCAACCCCTGGTATCTCTCCTTGTTTACAGACTTTCCATCAGGGGTGACTTCCAAGTTGCAATTAAGCTCCATTGGAGTTTCTGCAGGCCTGGCTCCAAGCATTTCTATCTCTTCAAGTAGATCTAGAGTATTTCCCCTACAATTCATTGATGCTCTTCGATGATCTAGCAATTTCTAACCCAAGAAAGTATCTTAGGCTGCCAAGGTCTTTTACCTCAAATTCAGTGGCCAGTAGTCCTTTGAGCTTCCTGATTTTTTCCGGATCATTGCCTGTTAACACTATTACTTTGTTAACTCGATACTCAAAAAATAGTGTGTGATCAACAAGGCATTGTTTATAGCCAAACCCTTGTATAGCACATGTGAATCTTTCAAACCAGGCCCTGGGAGATTATTTCAGACCGTATAGATATTTATGCAATCTACACACTTTGTTCTCATTCTTTGGACCCAATAGTCCCAGAGGTACCTCCATATACACTTACTCTTCCAAGTCTCCACTTAAGAACGCATTTTTGACATCCAACTGGTGCAAGGGCCAGTCTAAATTAGCTACAATAGAAAGAAGCACGTTTATGGTATTAAATTTGGTAACAGGCGCAAATGTCTTTTGATAATCAATCCCATAGGTCTGAGTAAAACCCCCTGCAACTAATCTTGCTTTATACTTATATATACTCCCATCAAGATTGTATTTCTTAGTAAACACCCACTTACTTCTTACAATAAATTTCCCATGAGGCAAGTCAGCAATTTCTCAAGTTCTATTCTTAGCTAGAGCCCTCAACTCTTCCTCAATAGTAGAATTCCAGTTAGGGTGCAATACAGCTTCTTCAAAGGTTTTGGGAATCTCCTCATTATCAATAGTAGTGACAAAAGCTTTAAATTGGGAATTAAGCTTTTCATACAAAACGTACCTGCCAATTGGGTTTCACATACAACTTCTTTTCCCCTTTTCTTAAAGAGATAGGCCATTGCAGATCCTCAAGAATAGTCTCGGGTTGAGTATCATGACTCTGCCTTGGAATAGTAATGGGATCTTCTCTAGTTGCTGTTTGTTCAGTCTATTCCTCCCTATTGTCAACTCCATATGGTTTGTCAATGGGTTCAACAAGTGTAATAGGTACAAAGGTGTAAGAGTTTAACCTGGAAAACTTACTTTATTCATCGGAATCTTGTGTACATTTATAGGAACTGATCCTAGGCTTTGGGCGATCGAATACAAGAAATCAAATCGGATAATAGGAGATAACATCATGATAATTCCTACGGATATTTACCGGGACCTTAGGAACTGGAGATTAACAAGATAATGAAGAATCTAAAATTAAAACATAAAGCTAAATGGGCTTTTCGGCCCATCACAACAAAAGGTATCTCTATTTTCAGCTTCTGTTTGTGGTTCAGCTGAGTTTGGACAAGTCTCAGGTGCTGCATGCAATTCAAGAGAGTTAGTTTCAGCTAGTTCAAGATCAAAGGATAGGACAATATCTAGGGATGTTCGGTTTTCATTGATAGAATTCTCATGCTAACCAGAGTGATCACTATGGAAAATAAGCCATTCACTAACACTTTCCCCTTGAATGGATGATTTGGAATAAAAAGGAAGTGTTTCAACAAATTTGACATTCATAGTAATATAGACTCTTTTAATGAGAGGAGAGTAACACTTGTACCCTTTTTGTGTGGGGGAATACCCTAGAAAAACACATTTGACAGACCTAGAATCCAATTTTCCACCTTCCTCATTGAACAATAAAGTTGTGCACCCAACGACTTGACTTGGAAGGGAGTTGATTAGATAAGAACTAGGAAAACATTCTAAAAATTTTTTACGAGGAGTTTGAAACTTCAAAACTTTGGAGGGCGATCGATCTATAAGATAAGTAGCTATGAGGACAACATCACCCTAAAAATTATTAGGCACATTTTGACCCAGTAAAAGAGCACAAGCCACTTCCAAAAGGTGGTGATTTTTATGTTCAACCACTCTATTTTGTTAAGATGTATATGCACAAGATGTTTGATGACGAACCCCTTTTTCAGCAAGAAAGGTTTGAAAAGGAGAGTTCAAGTACTCCTTCCCATTGTCACTTCGAAAAACCTTAATGGAAGCATTAAATTGAGTTTGAACAAAGACATAAAAGACCTTAAAGAGTGAACACACTTCAGATTTATTTTTCATTAAGAACAGCTAGGTGAGACGTGTGTGATTGTCCATGAATGTAACAAACCACCTAGCCTTAGAATTAGTTTCAATCCCCGAAGATCCCCAAACATCACTATGAATGAGGGGAAAAGGTTAGGATGGCATGTAGGGAATTGGAGTGTAGGAATGATGTACTTGTTTGGCTACATGGCAAGTATCACAATAAAATTGAGAAGTTCTTTTATTTATTGAAGTTGGGAACAAAATTTTCATATAATCAAAGCTAAGGTGACCTAATCTAGAATGCCATAACAAAATTTCTTCATGAGTCATAGGTGAAACAGGTTCAGAAAGAATTGCAGAAGCCGTTGCATAGCCTTTACTTGCGTGCATGCCTTCGAAATAGTAGAGCCCATTGCTTTCTCTAGCTTTGCCAATCACCTTTCCCTAGGCTATGTCCGGAAAATCACAACGAAACTGATCAAATATAACCAGGCAATTTATTCTATGGGCTAGAAGTTTTACTGATAGCAGATTACACTTTATGTCAGGCACATACAGTGCATTTTCCAGAACAATTTTTTCAAATAAGACCATAGTGCTGGAACCCTGAACCCATGTGTGTTCAAAATATGTGGTGAATTCAAAAAACAATTCCCTACATCCAGTGATGTGGTCTGTTGCCCAAGAACCAACCGCCCAAATATTTCTACATCCAATAATAGCACTCAATGCTGTAAATAATGATGTACCTGCGTGAGCTAAGGTTATTGAGGGAGTGGATTGATCACTTCGTTTATCATGAGAATACTTATCTAAAACACGACGCAATAACACAAGTTCTTCAAGATCAAGACTATCTTCTTGAGAGACAAAACTACCAATCAAATACCCTTTGCTTTCTCCTCACGGACACTACTTCAAATAAGCTGGCTTTTCATGAATTTTCCAACAAGTGTCACGAGTGTTGCCATTCTTGCTGTAATGATCACACTTTAGAGACTTCTTCCCCCTATGATCTCCCCCTTGATTGTTACAAGTCACCATCACAGAGCTCATGATTATTGGTGGAGAAGTGATTGGGGACAAATGCTGGACAAGGGCTTTCCAGCTCTCCTCATTCTTGATTAAATTAAAAATATCTTTCACAGAAGGAAAAGGCTTGATGCCCATGATACGCCCCCTGATATCTTCAAAAGTATCATTAAGCCTAAGTAAAAATCCATAACATCTATCTCTATCAATTACTTGCTTGTAGTAGAGTTCATCGACATGACATGTCCATTTGTGGACCTTATAGAGATCAATCTGCTGCCAAAGCCTCACAAGGATGTTGTAGTGTAATGTAACAGACTTCCCCCTTGTGAGAGATTACAGAGTAATCGCTTGACCTGAAGAATTGCTGCGGTATTATCTTTCACAGAGTAAGTGTGTCGAGCAATACCTAAATATCGCATGCAAAACTTACAAGCAGATAGTTTTCGCTAATTTATGGGTTTATGGAGTGAACCAACCAGGTCATCACGGTATTATTCTCCACACACCACGTCTCGTATTGTGCATCACCTAGTTTTGATGGTTTAGGATCCCATGTGAGGTATTTCTCCTTCGTCCTCTTGCAAACAAACATAAGAATGTTTCGAGACCACTGAAGATCATTATTCCCATTCAAATGATGGGTTATAATAAGTCCAGAGAGCGAGTCATTCACCATACCGATTGCCCTACTCCCTTTGCTGTCAGACATCTTCAAGGAGTCTCCTGAGATTCGACGGTGACTCATCTTTTTCACCGTCGGCATGTTAAGCTCTTGGCTTAGGAGTCAGCGCATCTTTGAAAGACAGGGGGGGTGCTCGGATACCATGTAAGTATGGTGCGCTGAATGTGTGTTTATTCATGATGAGAAACAGTGTACATAGAGGGGAGGAGAGATCGCACAAAATTAGGACAAATCGTCCTCAATAATAATTAGATAAATAAAATAGCAAATAATAATCCTAGGATCCCTAAAATTACGGAGGATAAAAACTAATTAGGATAGTGATTCTAGCTTGAAAGTTGTGACAATAAACTAGGGTTAATTCTTATTTGGGCCTAGTGATGACAGCCCACTTCAACACAAAATAGTTGCGAAACCTTCAAAACAAGGAAGTCACACATGCAGCAAAAAGTAATTATCTATTAAAGGGCTAAAGATAAAGTGGCAACAAAAAAATTATGACAACAAAACCCAAAAAAAAATGCGAAAAAACTGTACAATAAAAATGGCAAACAAAACAAAAAATTATCAATATGCTTAATTGAAAGCAAAATGTTAAGGTCCACATATAGGAAGTGTAACAGCTTGGATTTCACTTATGGATCAGTACAATTGATATATGCAGAAAATTCAGGAGAAACTCAAGTGAACCTTTCTTTCCCAATACGACGAGCAAGTTCTTCAGCTAAGGCTTGACCAGGTAGATCTCCATCAGTTGCAAGTATAATGCGTGATGCCTATAAATATAAAGATTTAAAAGCAAACTAAGGAAACCCTTAATTCCTGCACATTCATGATTAAAACACAATGACTGATATTTGCGTACCCCCTTAATATAATCTTTGCAGTTCCAAAGATATTGATACTTAATGTCCTAGCTTCATAAAAATGATAAGCATCAAATTATAATAGGCAAAAGACAGGACCACATAATAAATGATTGGCAATAGACAAGGGAATAAACATTAATATAATCTTTAGGTCTACAACTATATTGCAATCAAACAAGGACAAAGCAGAAAAATGCAACTTGATATGAAATATTTATTTTGTTTTTTAGATATATCAATGAAATTAATCATAGCTTTATGACCCTTGACAGTTTAGGTTTTTGGGTGAGTGGTCCTTGAAATGGTATAAAAATCCAAAACCTCAGTCAATATGTAGTTAGGAGTTCAATCCTTCACTTAACAGCATTCTTGGGGGAATGATCCTGGCAAAACTAGCTACAGATATGTTGCTCCTTTATGGGCATATATTCGACCTCCATTTGTACAGATTTCATATGGCAAATAAGAATATTTGATTAGTTAGGAGGGATCAAAAGCTAATTGATTAACTTGAATTCCTACTTGAGGGAGTTTATCGAGCTGTAATATTTCCTCAATCAAAGACAGTAGTGCAATTAATCTTGGGTTGTTAGAAGCCGTGATCTTCTCCCCTATCTTCTCCCTTGATTTACTCTATAAATTACCTAGAATAAGTTCCTGATTTCTTGTGATATTACATTATTACTGATTGATTGTAATCTCTTTGCATTATTATTATTGATTGTAACCGGATTGCATATTTCCATCCGGACTCTATATATTGTACCGGGATCATATGAAATAATATATGAGTGAATTTACAAACTCCTCAAACAATATGGTATCAGAGCACTGGGTTCGGTCTGAACCCAGAAAAGCTCCGTAAGAATCTGCTGTGAGCCAGAGAGAGAGAGACAGCGCGGGGAGAGAGAGAGAGAGGGTGGGCGTCCTCAACCTGGTGCAAGGAGAGCTGCGTGGACGACACCACCCCTCCAGTCCTCACCGGCGTCCCTTGATCGGCCAGTCCTCAGAAGCCGACGTCGAACGGAGCTGCGCGTGACTCTCACGCGCCGTCACAAGCTCTGCGCGTGAAGCCCACGCGCCGCCACGCCCCTGTCACTGTTCAGCGCGTGAAGCCCACGCGCCGCCGCCAGAGATCTCCAGTGCCTTCCAGAGACCCAGAAAATGGATGACCCAGAATTTCCACCATTGTTTGGATCTGTTCGCAATATTCCAAGGGCCTTCATGTCCGGTACATCTTCTAATACTCAAGCTACTCCTTCTAAAAACTCCACTGCAGAATCAGACTTGACAATAGCCACTGAACCTCAAGCTATGGGGGTAGCTCACAAACTTAATGGTAGCAACTATCTCCAATGGTCTCAAAGTGTGTTAATGTATCTGCGTGGGAAGCGTAAGGAGAAGTATATCAATGGAGAAGCACAACAACCTTCACACAATGACCCCAAATTTGACACCTGGTTCGCTGAAAATAATCAGGTGATGTCTTGGTTGTGCAATTCAATGACCCTCGAAATCAGTGAAGGATACCTTCTTGCAAGCACAGCCAAGGAAATCTGGGATGCTGCTAAGCGGACCTACTCTACCCTCGACAACACTGCAGCCTTATTAGATCTCAAGAGGCAACTCAAAGATCTGAAGCAAGGCAACTTAACTGTAACACAATACTACAGTACTCTGACAAAGATATGGCAGCAATTGGATCTCTTTGAAGTACATCCTTGGAAGGATATAGATGATGCTAACTACTACAGACAGTTGGTGGAAAAGGGACGAACATATGAATTTTTGTTGGGCTTGAATGATGTGTTTGAAGAAGTGAGGGGGAGAATTATGGGACTGAAACCCCTGCCATCCCTATTTGAAGTCTTCAGTATGGTTAAGTTCGAAGAAAGCCGAAGACACCTCACCCAGGGTAATCTGACCCCAGCAGAAGGCTCGGCATTGGTGACGAGAGGGTTCCAGACCTCAGAGGGGCCTGAGAAGAGAGGGAACAAGTGGTGCAATCATTGTAACAAGAGAGGCCACACCAGAGATGAATGTTGGAAACTACATGGAAAACCAACCCAAGGGAAGCAGAAACGAGAAGATAGAAAGAGCCACCACACCTCATCTGAAGAAAGAGGTGACGATGGAGACCAGTTGACCAGAGAAGAGCTTCAAATACTTTGTAAGATACTTGAAAAACAAAACAAGTCAAAATCTGTTCCCAACGTGAACTTGATACAGTCAGGTAACTCCATTATAGCCCTTAATGCAATGGTAACTAGTGATGAGACTTGGATTATTGACTCCGGTGCTACCGATCACATGACTGGTAATAAGTCCTTCTTTAAATCCCTCAAATATTGCCATGAGAACCTCAGGGTAAAAGTAGCAACTGGACTATATACAAAAGTTGAGGGTGTTGGCATTATGGCTCTATCTGACGATCTGGAAATCCATAATGTTTTGTTTGTCCCTGCTCTTACTTGCAATCTTATTTCTGTGAGCAAATTAACTAAAGGGCACGTATGTCGGGTGATCTTTGATGATGTTAAATGTGTTTTTCAGGATTCGACCTCGGGGAGGAAGATTTTGACTGCTAAAGAATGGGATGGACTCTACTACTTTGAAGGAAAGGATATGAAGATAGCAGGAGCAAAGAAAGCTATGGTTAGCTCAAATTCTCAGAATAAAAATGTAATGTTGTGGCATCTAAGATTAGGCCACCCCAGCTTTGATTATATGAAGCATGTGTTTCCAACTTTATTCAATAAAAATTCTTCTCCTTTCCAATGCGAAACGTGCCAAATTGCAAAACAAACTCGCGCCTCCTATCCCAAACATACTTACAAACCTACTGCCCCGTTCACAATGATCCATACCGACATTTGGGGACCTGCCAAAACCAACACCCGAACAGGCACAAGGTGGTTTATCACATTCATAGATGATCACACCCGGGTCACATGGGTTTACCTTATGAAAGAGAAATCCGAAGCCTTACAAATTTTCAAAAACTTTTGCTCGTTTGTGAGAACCCAATTCCAAACTCCCATCAAAGTTTTGAGAAGTGACAATGCCAAAGAATACGTGAGTGGAGCCTTTAGGGAATTTCTTAAGCAGGAAGGAATCCATCACCAAACCTCATGTGTCTATACCCCCCAACAAAACGGAATTGCTGAGCGAAAGAATAGACATCTTTTGGAAGTAACTCGAGCTATTATGATGGAAAGAAACGTTCCGAATATGTTTTGGGGAGATGCTGTATTGACCGCAGCTTACCTTATCAATCGCATGGCCTCCAAAATCCTCCATTTCACTACCCCCATTCAGAAATTCCTCGAGACTTACCCCCTCACCTATCATCAATTCCATTCCCCAAAAGATCTTTGGGTGTGTTGTCTTTGTTCATAAACATGATGGCGGCAAACTAGGTGCTAGAGCAGAAAAATGTATTTTCCTCGGGTATTCTTCCACCCAAAAAGGGTATAAGTGTTATAGTCCTACTACCAGAAAACTCATCATCTCCAAAGATACTGTCTTTTACGAGGATGACGCTTACTACCCCAAATTACCCATTCAGGGGGAGCACTATGGAGTAGAATGGCTAATTACACCTGAACCGATAACCACCTCCAACCTACCTCTTAACCCTCTTGAATCTTCCACACCTCAAGAAGAAATCCCTGAACCAGAATCAAAAACCCCTAGTCCTACACCTTCCCCAAAACACCAAAACACCACAAACACTCCTCACCCAATGGAAACCAATGCTGAAATTGATGCAGGGGTGACAGAGCACTCAAGTTCTCAATCAAGTAGTAGGGTTCCTTCCATTCCAAGGCAGCAACATGATTCCAATCCGGAGTTGGATCCTGAAGAGCTGGGATGGCCTATTGCACTCAGAAGGGGGTAAGATCATGTACTCAGCATCCTATTCAAAAATTTGTCTCCTATGGCAATTTATCTGCACGAATGCAAACTTTTGTGGTGAATAGTTCACAGGTGAAGATTCCAGAAACATTTCAACAGGCTATGACAGATCCTAATTGGAAACATGCTGCATATGAGGAGTTAAGAGCCTTGAAGGAAAACAACACGTGGGATATTACCACACTTCCTAAGGGCAAGAAAGCAGTGGGCTGTAGGTGGATCTTTACCCCTAAATTCAATCCTGATGGAAGCATCAACAAGTACAAAGGAAGATTAGTGGCTAAAGGGTACACTCAGACCTATGGGATTGATTATCAAGAAACGTTTGCTCCTGTGGCAAAATTTAACACCATCCAGGTACTCCTATCCCTTGCTGCTAACCTTGACTGGTCTCTACATCAGCTAGACGTGAAGAATGCTTTCCTAAATGGAGATTTGGAGGAGGAAGTATACATGGAAATTCCAGATGGAGTAATAGCTCCACCCAACTCAGTTTGCAAATTGAAGAAATCATTGTATGGCCTGAAACAGTCTCCACGAGCTTGGTTCGACAGGTTTGCCAAAGCAATCAAAAGATTTGGTTACATTCAAGGACAAGCTGATCACACTCTTTTCGTCAAACACAGTGATGGAAAGGTAACGATCCTAATTGTGTATGTGGATGATATAGTCATAACTGGCAATGATGAGGTTTCTATCTCCCATCTCAAGAAAGCCCTGGCTAGGGAATTCCAAGTGAAGGACCTAGGACAAATGAAGTACTTTCTTGGAATGGAAGTTGCTAGATCCAAAAAGGGTATAAGTGTGTCTCAACGAAAGTACACACTTGACTTACTCCACGAAACAGGAATACTTGGGGCTAAGCCTAGTGAGACTCCTATGGAAGAGTCATGCAATCTGGAAGTGAAACCAAACGGGACACCAGTTAACTCAGAAAGGTACAGAAGACTTGTGGGTAAACTAATCTACTTGACTCATACAAGGCCTGACATTAGCTATGCAGTTGGAGTGGTAAGCCAATTTATGCATCAACCCCAGGAAGAACACATGGAAGCAGTATACAGAATCCTCACCTACCTCAAACTCAATCCTGGAAGAGGAATATTCTTTCGAAAGGGGAATACAAGGAACATAGAGGTCTACACTGATGCAGATCACGGGAGAGCTGTGGATAACAGGAGATCAGTCACAGGATACTGCACTTATGTTTGGGGAAACCTAGTCACTTGGCGAAGCAAGAAACAAACAGTAGTCTCAAGGAGCAGTGCTGAAGCTGAGCTAAGAGCTGTGGCCCTCGGGGTATGTGAAGGAATGTGGGTGATTAGACTCCTGAAGGAATTGAGAATTTCCTATGAAGGACCTATGAATCTCTGGTGTGATAACCAAGCAAGCATTGAAATGACCAAAAATCCTGTGTATCACGACCGAACAAAACATGTTGACATTGATCGGCACTTCATCAAAGAAAAGGTCGAAGATGGCACCATTAACTTGAACCATGTGCGTTCAACTGATCAGATTGCTGACATCATGACCAAGCCGTTGGCCAGAGTCAATTTTGAAGGGCTTCGAAGCAAGCTGGGAATGGTTGACATTTACTCTCCAGCTTGAGGGGGAGTGTTAGAAGCCGTGATCTTCTCCCCTATCTTCTCCCTTGATTTACTCTATAAATTACCTAGAATAAGTTCCTGATTTCTTGTGATATTGCATTATTACTGATTGATTGTAATCTCTTTGCATTATTATTATTGATTGTAACCGGATTGCATATTTCCATCCGGACTCTATATATTGTACCGGGATCATATGAAATAATATATGAGTGAATTTACAAACTCCTCAAACAATATGGGTCAAATAGTTTCTAGAGGTTAAAACGCATATATACATCAAATATGCAGGGAGGTAGAAAATACCTTACAAGTTGATGTACGATACACACACATACTTAGTAACTAAATAACACACCTTCTCCTCAGGTGGCAACTCCTTTGAGGAGACTGTTGCAGGCGCACCATCAGGAACACTCACACAATTGCGAAAGCCAGCTTCTTCCATTGCAAGTTTGTCCATTTCACCTTCAACCTATATTACTGAAGTTATATACTAAACATACAACAAAACTTTGACTTCTGAATAGTTTCTCCATACAAATGAAGATACATACAATGATAATATCACTTTGCCCTTCAATATCATCCAATCCATAAAATATCTTTTCAGTGTCAGCTTCCTGAAGCAACAGAACATTAAGCAACATCTATAATCTATAACGTCATAAGATACAATAAGCCATAAAGTTAGAGCATTTGACAACAGATGGAAAAAGAAGATGCTACGAGCATAAAGATATTCCATAATTTACAATTAAAAAAATGAAACAGAATACAAATTGATGACACCGATTTCAGAGGTACAAGGTGACACATTCAAATAAAGAGAATCCAAATAAATTAATCACACATCTCTTTATAGTCCAATTCCAAAAAAATCATCATGCCAATATATGTTGTCTTTTATACTTGACCTGGTGCCTAACATTTCAGAGTCTAGTGCGCCAATGTGCAAGAAATGGAGGAATATCTACCCCCTTTATCTCAGTCTTGAGAACAGTAACATGTTTACATCTTTTTTAAATTGTCGAGAAATCTAGGATGAGTTAAAATGTAACAGGAAGTGTCATAAGATTAGGAATTTATGTTTCCTAGACACTTGGAGTTTATGTTCTAGGAATCTTTAATTACGTCATTGGACTATTCTCTAGTTTAATTTCATAGATAAGTGTTATATTTATCTCTAGGACTTCATCTTGCAAGTAAACTCGTTTTCAGAATATTATAAATAGGGAAAGTACAGGGGCTGAAGTGCATGCTCCCCTCAGCCCCTAAGTTATGCCAATCATAATTTTGCTTAACCCTAAATATCAACACAAAATTTCAAGAGATAGATCAGACTTAAATCTTCCTTTTATGATCGTTTGGACAAAAGGAAATTACAAACAGCAATCTGAAATATAAGTTTAGCTTTGTCTGCTTGAAAATTAGAACTGCAGTAGTTAAAATGGTTTAGCACTTAAAAATATGCCTATATAGAGGACTGGCATGTACCATTTTAGTGATTAAACAGGCAACTCAGTTTTATATGCAAGCAGCTGATCTTCCATGGCTTCTGATACAGGTAAATAATTATAATCCATTACAGTTCCTATTGTTGGCTGAGCAGCTAACATCACAAAGGACTCTCTTAGAGATCAATGGAGCAGTGCCAATTATAACACACCTAAAGGTCTTCTTTCAAGATGAATTTTGAGAAAGAAATGGCTGGGTATTTGTATGGATGACCTTTGCAGCAATTACAACAAGAAGAAGATGACTTATCCCACTAGGCAAGGTCAACTACATGGACCACACTACGTCAATGTGCTATATCAAAGACCCACTCTTTAGATATACCGCTCACCTTTGCAGCAATTACTTTATGCTTTTCTTGCTGCTTGTTTGACTGTGGTAGTGTCTCCTCCGAAGAAAATTCAGCTAGTTAAGGGTCAAGGTAGTGTTTTGCGAACTGGACCAAACTAGTTGGTTCAGCAACATGTCCAATGTAAAGAACGTTAAGAACCAGTCAAAAGCCGTAAGAACCAATGGGTGAACTGGATGAGCCGGTCAAAAAAATTTTTTGTTTAAAAATTTAATTCATGTTTTTAAGCTACGATTTATGCATATTTATACCTAATAAGCATTAAAAAAATTAAAGAATATTGAGCAAATAGGCAAGAAATATGTGTGTGTATACATAGATATTCTAAAATTATAATTATAATTATAAATTATAAAACAAGTAAATATATTTTCCATGAAGACTATGAAGTATTAATGGATATTCTTATTTCACTATATATTACTCTTCTGTGATTTAACAATCTTTTTTTTTTTTTAATGATTATTGATGGGCCTGAGCCTAGGCTGATTTACGTTAGGAAAAGGCCCAAAGATATAGAAAAGGGTAATTGAGGTATTTTATGTATGGCAGTTAGAGAGAGAGAGAGTGTGGGATGGGCGTAAAAGGGGTGTGGTGGTCATGGGAAGAAGCAAGAAAGCTTTTGGAAGTTGAGGGAGAGTCTGTGTCTCTCGAATAGATAGAGCTGCGACTGTTTGTTCTCTACTAGCAGGCCTACACTCTGGAGTAATTTGAGGCTGAATAACATCAGACCGGTGGCTGTTCTATCCGACACACATTCCAGATGAATCAACACCTTCCAGCAACTGATTCTTTCAAATCAAAAAGACAAATTCCTAGCAGACAAATTTTACCACCCACTGTTAACATGTTCAGCATCAGCAGTTGCTTATACCTGCCAAAATTTTTTGTTGATGTCCCGATACTTGCAGCTAACAAGATCTCCTTGACGACGATATGGAAATGCAATAACAATCTGCTAAAGTATATTGGGGAAACAAATAATGATGCAGATTAGTAGCTTGTAAAAGAATGGGGACGGACAATATCTACTTTAAAAATGAGAAGATACTATTTCCATTGTCATTGACATTTCAAATTTTGCCTAGTTATAGAAACTATCAGACTTGAATCCTTGCTTAGCTGGTTGACAGGAATAACACTTTTAACTTTCTGCACAGACTTAAAAGTTAGCATTTCATTCCATTTCCCCTTATTTATTCCTTCCTTTTTTTTCTTCAAATTGTTGAAAATGAGTTGGTTGCATGCATGATCTTTCAGAACTATCAAGGAATAAAATCTTGGAATCTGAACTGGTGCTATGCTCCTGTGGAACCCAAAAAACATAGCTGAAAATGACAGCACCAAAACGACTATTGCAAGAATTCCATGAAGAATTTTCTGAGGAAAAAAGACTTCCAATCTTATGACTCTGTCAACCTATATTGATGGAAGAAATTTCCACAACTATCAGGATTACTTCATCAATTAAGTAATAATCCCCCAGAAGGTATATGTTCTACCCAGATATAAAATATCCCGAAAGTTCACCTGATCGCTAAACATTCTCTGCCTAACACCATTTCTTAGTAGAGTCTCCTTCGAAATCAAACGTTCTGCGAAATAAGCAATCAGCTGAAAGAAGGAAAACAAAGCCATGTTCACTATATCGCAAGGAAATGGACCAATGTAATATAATCAATTTGGTTCTATTCTACACATATAAACAAAACATTTATTAACAGAAGCAAATCTGACAGATACATTACGTAATAGATGAACACTAACCAAACATAACATTAATGCACCATGCAATATATTCATTATATAGTTTATTAATTAACATATTAGAACTGTCATTTTGCATCTAAGTAATATAGAAGTAGAAATTCTGGCAATAATAAATACATAGAAGTAGAAATGGAGAATTATGAATCCCAAACATCTAAGGGATCATTTAAGTACACAACAATAAAATGAAAGGAAAAGAGTGATTTGGTGGATGAGAAATGTCCTTCACATCCCCCCCAAAAAAATAAAAGTGGAAGCCATTGTAAAAATAAATATTTAATATATAAAATCATAATAATAGCCTTTGCATATCTTGTTTTCTGTTCAAAGCAGACAAAATCCATCTCCCTTGAAGGGGCCCTCTAAATGAATGGTGCATCCAAAAGCTTTGACCAAGATTATTAGGGGAAAAAACATGTAGCTTGACAGCTGTAGTTCAACTTATTGATTGGCATAAATTATTGTTTAAATCTGTTAAAGAACAATGCTTGAATTTTTAGAACTATCTTTATCTTTGGATAGATGGTACAAAAGAATGGTGCTCATATCCTCATTTAAGCAATCTGCTCATGGTTTATTTAAGGGGAATCTTATCTTGGATTTGCAAACAGCTTTGCTGCATTTTTTCCAATGAAATTTTTTTTTATGCTACTCTTTATATAGTTCATTGTGGAGGATGTCTTATTCTCCTTTCTTGTGACTCTCATAATAAATTTCCTAACAAAATAATCCCTATTTTATACACAAATCAAAATCAAAAGAAATGCAATATCATAAACAACACGGGAAAACATGGCAAAGCCATGATATGTAAGGTCAAATCCACAGACATATACTTGTGAAAGCTACAAAGCATTAGTCAACAATGCATTGAGGCATGATGTTAGGTAGTTGGCTATAAATCAAAATATTAAAGGATAGGGTATAAAAAAGTAATCATGCATTCGGCTGTATAAAACTAAATTAAGCAGTGGTCAATAGATAACTGAGTAACTGATAGTATTGAACCGGAGATTGCACAATCAAGATCAATAGCACCTCTAAAATTAAATGTAGTGGGAACAAAAATAGAAAACATGAAATATAATAACCTCATCACAAAGGGGTTCTAGCATCAATTCTGACTCAGAAAGTTCTCTCTTTTTCTTAGTTTTCGGTACATGCTTCAATGACTGGCCACCAGCAACTGCCTACAGTAGAAACAGAAGCTGATATGCATCCAAATCTATACTCTGGGGTAAATGGGATACTTCAAAACTGAAAAATGTTTAACCTTTGTGCTGCCCTTCCAACCACATTTTGCACGGAAGCACATCCATAAAGCAGCCCCTCTGAAAGACTCAGATAATTACAATATTAAATGCAGTAGAAAAATAATCCATTTGATACCCAAAAAGGAAACAATTTGACGAAGAAAATGAATAGCAACAAACCCATCTTGCGTGATGAAAAGAGATAAGCTCCTTTCTTCTGAATCACCACCATTGCACTAACAGGAAAAAATAAAAGAGTATCAAAATGGTATGTGTGTATGAAAGTTGGGTGGGGCAATCCTCTTTAGCAGCCCAAATCTTCGACTCTTTAAGAAACAAGATTAAGACCAAAAATGCCAATAGAAGTCAGTTAACTTGAATTAAATAAACAATAAACCCTCTTTCTGTGAAGAAGCCAACCGTGAAAAGGCTGGTTATGGAACGTTTTCAAACATCAGACGTTTTCTTTTGTTTAATGGAAGTTTTGACAGATCGAGGAATGATTTTTGGCAGAACAACAAAGTATCTTTGTTTCTGACTCATTAAGTTCCTTTTCCGTATAATTACATTTACTCAATTCTGACTCATCAATTTACTTTTCCGTATAATTACATTAACTTAGCTTCTAAAATTTTTTAATCTTTTAAATGCTTAAATGAAAGGAGAAAAACTTTGCTGCTCATCACTCTTCTAGGACCAACTTCAGACAAATTCATAACCCAAAACCAAAATCTCAACCTATTGAGCACGCCATCAGAAGAAAAAACTCTCTTAAATTGAGACCAAATCCCAAAACCTAGAAGCCACTGGCAGCTAGGTCTGAGGACTCCGCAGGCTGTGACTTGGAGAGATGTTTTTGAGTTAACACACTTTCCAACGTGCCAACAAGAAACTTCAAAAAGATAATAATAATATAACAAATAAAAGAAAAGCCAGTGGCTGTGAAAAATCAAGATAAATTTCTTGAAGGATAAGAAAACAAATAATCATAATATAATAACACAACATCAATAATCACCACATGAACAGCTTCACCAGATTACACAAGACTGCAAAAAGAGAAGAAAACCAATAATACATTTGGACAAAGCAAGCGGTAGTATTGCCCCGGTCCGCATAAATCAGCATCAATACCAAGCTCCTGCAATTTAACTTTAAAATCTTGAAATGCGTCCCCGACATCTCCTCCTCTGGGTTCCCCTCGAAAATTCAGAATGCAAATGTCAATATGTAAATGTAGTAACCAAAAGACTGCCATAAAGCCTCCAAGCTTATCAATGAAATGTAAATGTCAAGATGACCCTACCTCGCCCAGGGGCGGCAGATTCAGAAATATAAGAATAACCATTAGTCCTGAGTGATAACGGACGAATACTCGAACTAGGTTTTAAACAAAATAGGAGCCTCTGGGAGTGAAGAAGGTCTCCTTGAGACGACAAAGTCGTCGGCTTTGAAAAAGCTGTGAAATGCCGCAAGCTTCTGGCGCTCATGGGGCGAATGCTTGAGGACAGGAGATAAAATCTAAGAAGGAGCCTATTATGGTAAAGAAGACGCATTTCTAGCAGAAGGTATCAATGGTTTCGTGCGGTGAATCTGCCAGTTACTTCTACTACTACCACCAACATGTTTCACTGTGGAAGTGGTGAGGGTTTGAGGGTGCGACTGTCGCTTCCCGCTTCCGTAAACTAAAGCGAAGCGCGCCTTGTTCCGCTCGTCCTAGGCCTTCTCCCTCTAGTTCCTACAGCTTTGTGTTTTTTTTTTTTTTTTACCAGTCTAGTTCCTACAGCTTGTATTTCCCATTTCAAGCCCATCTGCAGTTACGTTACTGATCTGAAAATCAATCTGCGATTATATTATGTGAAAATGATAAATAAAGAAACCAGAAAATACAAAATTCTGATTTCTAAATAAAAATTATAAAATATTGAAGAACAGATCAAGTTCCTGATTGTTGTAGCGTTTTTGATCGCCAAAAGTAACTTAAAAATTTAATGAGTCAGTCTGTAAATTTAGAAACTATTTGTCACAGCTTTTGACCAATCTGACTTATGAGTCAAAGCTACTTTTCAAACACGATTGCAAAAACATCTAAAACTTACTATGACTTAGGGAGTGTTTGGATAGAAACCAAACTATGAGTCCAAAAGTGTTTTTATGGTTTTGCGAAGCAGATATGTGAAGGAGTTTATCTCGTTTGTGGGAAAAGCACTTTTAGGAAGGATTTTGACAATAGCCAAACACCCCCTTATACAAAAGTAACTTTTAGGAATTAAAAATAAATGCTAGCTACATCTTTTAACGTATATATTGTAACACCTCACATAATTATATCAATATACGTAAAAAATATTTAATTTAAAAATTCTATACATATTTCTAACACTTCAAACAAGTCATAATTTCAAACATTTCTAACATAACAAAATAAAATTTGAAGTCTTATAGTCATGGCAAATAAAAATACAACATAGCATGTGCTTGAGGAGCAGAAGCCTTTAAAACTCACTCCATTGGTGCCTTCCCTTGATTCCTACTAGATCCTTCACCTGAAAATTGTTAATATAAGGGGTGAGATCAAACGTCTCAATAACTATTGAAATTCTAACATATACAAGCAAACTATATATGATAAACCAAAAATCTAGTTATATGTGTGTATATAAATATTAAAAATCACGGTTTGATACATTCACTCAATTTCATTTTTTTGATTCAACAATATATCAATATCTTTTTTTTTCCCAAATATCCAAAAATAATACAATATGTTGCCTCCCTTATATCACCGTCTACCCTTATACCGCTAACTGGAGCCATAGGCTACTACATAGTTTGATAGGAACTAATGCGTTTTACTAAATTATTCCAACCTCACTGATACTAGAGATATCCGGCCAAAAATATAGAGTTCAAGCTCGGACTATGGCTCTCCTCATTTGGAAATAAACATAAAAAGGTGTCACATGTCCCAAGCTCCAATGAATCCCAGCCAAAGAAAAACATGAAAGAAGGGGCGCTGATAAGTGCTATCCATTGTGCACCGAGTGCTGGGCACACGTGGTATGGTTTTTATATCCATGCAATCTCCTTCTATCCTTAGCCCAACCATGCATGTCAAATGCCAATAATGTTACATCAAAATAACGTCCTCAAATATATAAAAAATAAGATAGCAATAAAACTTATATACCATTTAATAACAACTCATGACAATTCCATAGCCATCAATATATTTAAATATTGATCATAATTAATAGCAATAAATCTTAACAAAATCAAATAACATATCAAAATATTTATTTGAAAAATCATAATATTATATTTAGTATGATATAAAAATTAGTAAATCAACAATATAATCATACACAATTCATATGTACAAAAAAAAATTTTCAGAGTTACCTTGCAATCTAGCTTGCAAATATTCACAAAGATTACTCCAAAATTCTCAAGAATCTACAAAATTGCGCGTAATATTTTTTTTAATATAAAACTCAAAACTGCTCCACCAAACTACTCTAAAATTCTAAAACTACCCTCGAAACCAAAATTACATAAATATTAACTCTCCTAAATTTTTCTTATTTATAATAGATATGATATTATTTTGACAATAAAATTTTCATATAAAACTATTTAAATTCAATAACTTAATCAAATGTATCTATTACACAATATATAAATATTTTATATTAAAATTCTCAATTATTTATTATAATCTCTTTAAAAAAAAATTTCTTAAACCAAATAACTTCTTTTTTTTTTTTAATGAGAATGAAATATCATTACTGAGGAAAATATGTACAAGGTGAATCAAAATTCAAAAGCAGGGTACAATAGCCCTCAGGAAGAGGAGGCAAAGGCTTGCGAAATTCCTAATGGTAACTATGTGTTCTGTTAGGGCAAGGGCTTCATTTAGGAGGTTTGTTTTAATATTAGTATCCTCCTGGGAGAAGAGAATGTTGTTCTTGCCTTCCAAATTTCCAGCATAAGACGTCGAAAGTGATATGCTTCGTTGCGTTTTTGTCTGGGGGTCTTAAGTGGTCAAGGAACCATGTGCTGAATTTTGGGTTAAGAACCCTTCACGTTCGTCTACGGGTATCAAGACATTCCAGCATGAAGTTGCCACCGTGCAGTGTCGTAGAATGTGGTCTAGGTCTTCTACTGCATGTTCGCAGATGCTACATGAAGCCTCATTCGCTAGGTGTCTCCTTGATCTCTCCTTGTTTGTGAGTAGCTTATCATGTGTAGAGCAAGCCACAGGAAGGTTCTTATTCTTTGGTCCAGGCCAGCTCCAAATGGTTCTCCATTACTCGTTTTCGGTGTCCCAGTTGTCCCCCATGATTAAACTGTATGCAGATTTAACAGTAAAGATCTTCCTTTTTCAAGGGCCCAATAGCATGTAGCAGGGCCTTCAAGTCTAGAGGGTGGCTCAAGGTCAGTAACTTGGTGTAGGATGTCCATAGGCAAAAGGTTGGAGAATTCTGACCATTTCCAAGAGCCATCATTTCCCACATAATGGTTGATGGTCTTGTTGAGTTCAATCATCTAGGGCACGAATAAGAGGGTTTTAAGCGGCCCTAGGTCAGTTATCCAAGGGTCGGCCCAAAAGCGAACTCTTTGCCCATTACGATTTCCCATTTCAAGCCCAAAGAAATATCTTCCCATA